AACAGTAGTTAGACTACTTAGCCTATATCATTCAAGAAGATCGAAATGCATATTCCCATGAAACTGATTGGGATCAAATGGTTGGCATGCATGCAGAATGGACGTTTCACCCATAAAACATGAATAATTATTGTTCACGATTGACAGTGATGAAGGCCTAATTTAAAATAAGGTAGGACTCATTTGATGTTTTAGCATCACCATTTTTTTAAATGAATTGAGCCACTTATGTGTATGCATAGGCAATCTTAGAATTTGGATGATATTATGCAATAGGCTACATGTTGCTACAAACTTTAATTCAGAAATGATGGCGATATATTAATAGAGAATTGCGCTCTGCTAGGCTACCTAAAAAAAGAGCACCACACCATTGGTTATAATAAATGTAAAGCAATTGCAGTGTGTGGTCAACTGATCATTTCAGCACAGTTTTGATTGGGACAGCGTCATTGCTCTACTTTGAGACAAGCATGGGAACTGGTCTTGATAAATCAATCAATGTCCAATTTGTTTTTCACTGAATCTCCATTTGGATATTTGGTTACAATTAGGCTGGGAAATGTTAGATATGCCTACATCTCAGTGTAGTGTAGTGTTCAAACTTGTAAACAAGGCATGGGGTTTCTCGTAATGCGACTCCGTGCAGCCAATGGCAATGCCCGCTTTAGATATAATGCCAGGAGCCTCTTGTGGATTTGATAGCTGTCGCATCCGCTATGCGGATGTCGGCTAAAGCGGATCTGATTGAAAAGAGCCCCAAATCTCTCTTTAAATCGTACACACACAGCAAACAGTCACACCTGACTATATACACTTCTTTAACTCCAAAATCAAACAAGGGAGCCCTTTCTTTGGAAGAGCACAGGGAGAGGACTCATCAAGGGAAATCTGGTGACTATTGTGTTTCCCTATATCTATTACTGATGCACACTTTTGTTTCAGGAGTCGTTTTAAAGCAGATATACAGTCAGGGTATACAACTCCTGTTCCAGAAAAAAATCAGTAGCACCTACACTACCAGTCAAAAGTTCAAGGGTTTTTCTTTATTTTTAAAAACTATTTTCTACATTGTAGAATAATAGTGAAGACATCAAAACTATGAAATAACACATATGGAATCATGCAGTAACCAAAAAAGTGTTAAACAAATCAAAATATATTTTATATTTGAGATTCTTCAAATAGCCACCCTTTGCCTTGAAGACAGCTTTGCACACTCTTGGCATTCTCTCAACCAGCTTCACCTGGAATGCTTTTCCAACAGTCTTGAAGGAGTTCCCACATATGCTGAGCACTTGTTGGCTGCTTTTCCTTCACTCTGTGGTCCGACTCATCCCAAATCATCTCAATTTGGTTGAGGTCGTGTGTTGGGTCATTGTCCTGTTGAAAAACAAGTGATAGTCCCACTAAGCCCAAACCAGATGGGATGGCGTATTGCTAAAGAATGCTGTGGTAGCCATACTGGTTAAGTGTGCCTTGAATTCTAAATAAATCAAAGACAGTGTCACCAGCAAAGCACCCCCACACCATAACACCTCCTCCTCCATGCTTTACGGTGGGAAATACACATGCAGAGATCATCCGTTCACCCACACTGCATCTCACAGACACAGCGGTTGGAACCAAAAATCTCAAATTTGGACTCCAGACCAAAGGACACATTTCCACTGGTCTGATGTCCATTGCTCGTGTTTCTTGGCCCAAGCAAGTCTCTTCTTATTGGTGTCCTTTAGTAGTGGTTTCTTTGCAGCAATTCGACCATGAAGGCCTGATTCACACATTCTCCTCTGAAGAGTTGATGTTGAGATGTATCTGTTACTTGAACTCAGTGAAGCATTTATTTGGGCTGCAATTTCTACGGCTGGTAACTCTAATGAACTTATCCTCTGCAGCAGAGTCTTCCATTCCTATGGCGGTCCTCATGAGAGCCAGTTTCATCATAGCGCTTGATGGTTTTTGCAACTGCACTTGAAGAAACTTTCAAAGTTCTTGAAATGTTCCGTATTGACTGACCTTCATGTCTTAAAGTAATGATGGCCTGTCGTTTCTCTTTGCTTATTTGAGCTGTTCTTGCCATAATATGGACTTGGTCCTTCACCAAATAGGGCTATCTTCTGTATACCCCCCTACCTTGTCACAACACAGCTGATTGACTCAAACGCATTAAGAAGGAAAGAAATTCCACAAACTCATTTTTAACAAGGCACACCTGTTAATTGAAATGCATTCCAGGTGACTACCTCATGAAGCTGGTTGAGAGAATGCCAAGAGTGTGCAAAGCTGTCATCAAGGCAAAGGGAAAATATTTGAAGAATCTCAAATATGAAATATATATTGATTTGTTTAACACTTTTTTTGGTTACTACATGATTCCAAATGTGTTATTTCATAGTTTTGATGTCTTCACTATTATTCTACAATGTAGAAAATAGTAAAAATAAAGAAAAACCCTTGAATGAGTAGGTGTTCTAGAACTTTTGACCGGTAGTGTATGTTACCCCTTGGCAGCGTTATCAGAAAGCACAGCATTGATTTTCACTGCTACGCAGATGATACACAACTTTACATTTCTTTGTCACCAGAGGACTTTAGCTCCACGGATAAATTATTAGACTGTATTAGTGATTTAAATTCTTGGATGGCTCACAACTTCCTCCAGCTAAGTCAAGACAAGACCGATGTACTTATTGTTGGAGCCAAAGCACAGAAATGTGAATCTAGCCGCACATTTTAATTCACAGGCAATAAAGGTAAAACACCAGGTAAAAAACCTAGGTGTTATTTTAGATTCTGAACTAAATTTCGAATCACACATTAGGAATTTGACCAGAATAGCTTTTTAGCACCTGAGGAACATTGCCAAGGTGCGGCCGTTTCTATCTTAGTCTGATACAGAGAGGCTCATCCATGCGTTTATTACAAGCAGGCTTGATGCCGAGAACGTCAAAATAAGAAATGAGAAAGATAAATAAAAAGTGGTTAAATGGTTACTAGGGAGGATGGCTGCCTTCATGGCTATAGTCCCTCTGACTGTGTGTCTAAGGCCTGGCTAGCAAATGGAGCGAAGCCTAATTCTCCTGAAATGAATATCACCGTCTTGACCAAACTCATTTAGAGATCAGTCAGGCCCTTAATCCTTCCCCTGGGGAGCATGTTTGCGCCTCTTTCTCCCGTCCCCTCCCCTTTTGGGAAAAGCTAATATGGCTAAATTTGCCGGGCTAATGGGCTTAGCGCAAGCTGTTACAGAGGAGAGTGGACACACAGCAGGCTGGCCGGTACACCGTCTGGCTCTTTTTCATCTGACTCCTGATGAAGAGAAGAGACATTGGGTTATCCCCAGAGCCGTAGCGGGAAATTGGGAGATAAAAGGAGGAATGTGGAGGGAGGTATAGTGGGGGGTTCGGAGACACAGAGAATAGAGAGATAACTTAATTTCCTTTAGGGTTAATACAGCTCTAGGACTAGGACAGTCTGTCAAGTGTGCACCTGCAAGGATCATTATGGTAACAATAAAGTAGCCTTATCCTCACCCCAACAAATATTCAATGTCTGATCTGACAACAGTTTCTTAGTTTCTTCGTTTGAAAAACAACAATATAACAAGTGGAACAATTGATCAACATAAATATAGATGGTTCTGATTGCTGTTGCTGGGTGTGGTACAGTAGTGGTATAGCTGTTTTATGAATACAGTGGCTTACGGTCTCTCTGGGCAAACAAACCAAGTCTCTCCTTGAACATGTGCTGTGCGAGAGCAGGCGTCTTTTACCACGGCACGACTACTGATAACCCCTGTCTCTATGACAGCTAAGTTTCTTCCCATCTACCACCTGTGGCAGCAGGTAGCCAGGTCCACTGTCAACATAAGTGAGGTCATCCTGAGATTACACTGGTCAGTGGTACAGCTGACAACCTCTGATGTTGACTTAGGATGCCACTATAATGCCAGTAGAATTGCACCTGTGAAGAAAGTTTCTAAGGCAAGGCGTTTTTCCTGTTCAGGTCACGTGGTGAGGAATAACTCTGGGCCACTTTACATGAGGCCGGGCAAAACCATTGAAACCAGAGTGTATGTAAACAGAGTGAATTGACACAAGAAATACAAATTCCTCCAAATGCTTCTGGAACTGTTCCTGAGCAGACAACAACACTGGCCCACCGTCATGCCACATTTGAGGTGTCTTCTCCTACACATGATCTTTCTTTCATTTGATTAACATTTCCAGCTGACAGTGGAGCCAGAGGGCTGCAGAGACGGCACCTTGAAAGGAAAAGGCAGGCGGTCGTACCGCTTTAGGCCTCAATACAAGTCACCTACCCCCAAGTCACCACCCATTCTGGGCCACTGACCCACAAGTAAGAGACTCAGTGCAATCCATTTTGCCCCATGCCTGCCCTGCTGGTTCTGTGCACTCTCTTAAGGGTCATTCCCCCCGTATCTTCACTTGACTCAGGACACATTTAAAGAGCCTCAGCAAACACGCTCTCATCTCAGTTTATGTTCTGTTCACTGTGCATCACTCTGGAGGAGTGTGATGGACTTTCTTCATATTTTGAAACTGTTGCACGTTTAGCAGCCGGAGCTTTGGGCGCAAAGGGATAGTTTCTTGAAGGTACTGTGATTTTGATTTACTGCAGGAATATCATCCATTGTATAACATTTTTTGTTTATAATACCTCTAAGACGAATTTCAATAATTCCAAGACATTATTACAATTTGGCTATCAGGAAGTTCATGTAGGTCACTGGTTACATCTTCTTTACAGGGTTTTCTGTGAAATAATCATTCATGTTTTGATGACAAACTGCTGGTTTTCATTGCTCTATCATGAACTGTATGAACAGTATGAATGCACTGTATCCACACCCATAGTATATTAACACATCAAATTGGAAAGGCTGTTGGTACTACTTTGACCTTCTTGACATCTATAAATCTTAATGACTATTGTAAACTAAATATCCACTCTTCTTCCCTCACCAGGAGGCAGTAGCCATGTTGAGTCCGGGGGAGAGTCTATCATCAGAGGGCAGCAGCCCATTGTTTCCGTCCCGCCTAGGTCTGCACGAGAGCCCCCTGGGAGACAGGACCGGTGCCGAGGCTGGGATGGCCTGGGAGATGGAGGACACCAAGCCCTGCATGGAGGCTCTTGAGCATCGCGGCCTTCCAGGCCTCCATCAGTCCTGCTTTGACATGCTCTTCACCGAGGACTCCACCTGGCTGGTGAAGGTGACTGAGGCCTCCTCGGGTCAGGCTTGTCCCGTGCCTCTCCCAATAACCAGGACGGAGCCCCGTGAGGAGCCAGAGCAGTGCCCCGTCATTGACAGCCAGGCCCTGGGGCTCTCCCCGGGGCTGGAGGGCCAGGAGGGCCAGGAGGAGGAGCGCTCCCTGGAGCAGGTCCAAAGCATGGTGGTCGGGGAGGTGCTGAAGGACATCGAGACGGCCTGCAAGCTGCTCAACATAATCCCAGGTAGGTACTGTTGCAGTAGTAAACTGCCACTCTCATGCTGGAATTAGTAGAGTTAGTAGAATGGGCATTCCTGTTTAGAGCTATGTTTTGTGGTGGGGACCGATTCTATGTGGAACTGTACGATTAATTGATCCTTGTCACATCAGTATTCTGTGCCTTTCATATTTGATGAGCCATAGTCAGTGGACTGAGGGACTTTACACTTTCTCCTAATTCTTATTCTATTGCTGCCACTACTGCATGATCCTGTCTCCCTTTCAAGAGCATGAAAAACACCATAGCCGCTCATTCTAGCCTATTCATGCATACTATCCAATCAGGTATTGACTCAAGGTATTGATATATTGATTCAGAGCAGACACATCTGCAGAATCCTCCTGCCACTAGATGATAATGACATGGATGACAGCTCTTAATGATGACCTACAGTGAGGGAAAAAAGTATTTGATCCCCTATTGATTTTGTCCGTTTGCCCACTGACAAAGACATGATCAGTCTATAATTTTAATGGTAGGTTTATTTGAACAGTGAGAGACAGAATAACAACAACAAAATCCAGAAAAACGCATGTCAAAAATGTTATAAATTGATTTGCATTTTAATTAGGGAAATAAGTATTTGACCCCTCTGCAAAACATGACTTAGTACTTGGTGGCAAAACCCTTGTTGGCAATCACAGAGGTCAGACGTTTCTTGTAGTTGGCCACCAGGTTTGCACACATCTCAGGAGGGATTTTGTTCCACTCCTCTTTGCAGATCTTCTCCAAGTCATTAAGGTCCTTAATGTGCTTCTTCTTGAGCCACTTCTTTGTTGCCTTGGCCGTGTGTTTTGGGTCATTGTCATGCTGTAATACCCATCCACGACCCATTTTCAATGCCCTGGCTGAGGGAAGGAGGTTCTCACCCAAGATTTGACGGTACATGGCCCCGTCCATCGTACCTTTGATGCAGTGAAGTTGTCCTGTCCCCTTAGCAGAAAAACACCCCCAAAGCATAATGTTTCCACCTCCATGTTTGACGGTGGGGATAGTGTTCTTGAGGTCATAGGTAGCCTTCCTCCTCCTCCAAACACGGCGAGTTGAGTTGATGCCAAAGAGCTCGATTTTGGTCTCATTTGTCCACAACACTTTCACCCAGTTCTCCTCTGAATCATTCAGATGTTCATTGGCAAACTTCAGACGGGCCTGTATATGTGCTTTCTTGAGCAGGGGGACCTTGCGGGCGCTGCAGGATTTCAGTCCTTCACGGCGTAGTGTGTTACCAATTGTTTTCTTGGTGACTATGGTCCCAGCTGCCTTGAGATCATTGACAAGATCCTCTCGTGTAGTTCTGGGCTGATTCCTCACCGTTCTCATGATCATTGCAACTCCAACTTCTGGGAGCCAGAAATCTTTCTGATTGAGAGGGGGTCAAATACTTATTTCCCTCATTAAAATGCAAATCAATTTATAACATTTTTGACATCCGTTTTTCTGGATTCTTTTGTTGTTATTCTGTCTCTCACTGTTCAAATAAACCTACCATTAAAATGATAGACTGATCATTTCTTTGTCAGTGGGCAAAGGTACAAAATCAGCAGGGGATCAAATACTTTTTCCCCTCACTGTATGTCTCACTGACTCAAGTCATGTTTGTCTGCTCCAGGATCTGTATAATCCCGTTGCGTTTAACAACAGGACTTAGTGGGAATGACGGTGCTGCTCGCCTGCCAACAGCCGTGTACACAGTGCATGGGTGAGGTCTGTCCAACTGGCAAAGCAAACATCAGGTCGAGGGCATACACTACTGTGTGTACTGTAAGATGTCTTCTGTCAGTCACACCCTGACACCATAGAGCCCCTACATCTTCTCCTCCTGCTGCTACTGCTGTATCCAAAATGTGGTCTTATGGTGCGTTTCAACTGATGAAAACGATTGTAGAGTACACAACAGAACAGTACCCCACCTTATGCAAACCACCACTCTCCCCAGACCACGCCTGCGATTGGAGATTGCCCAGAGCGAACCTTGCAAAGCAAAGACTAGTCACTGAGGTGAAGACAGTAATTGGCCTCTGATTGATTGCATTTAATTGCACTCTGTGTGTGTGTGTGTGTGTGTGTGTGTGTGTGTGTGTGTGTGTGTGTGTGTGAGACCAGAGATCAACTGATACTGTAGTATGGGGACCACACACATCTAGGGTCTCCACTTTATTCATGGTTGTTTTGGTAACCCTCTATCCTGAATAGATCCCTCCCTATTGCAGGCCAACAGACATGCAGTTGACATTTACCGTAAATGTTACTGCTAGTTTGTTCAACATCTATAGATGTATAGGGGACTATCCAAAAGAAAGTGTTATTGCTATCGTTTTTATCTGTTATCCCCAGACCCCATAGAGTGGAGCTCGGGGAATGTCCAGAAGTGGTTGCTATGGACAGAGCACCTGTACAGACTGCCTCAGGCCGGCAAGGCCTTCCAGGAGCTCACTGGGAAAGACCTGTGTGCCATGAGTGAAGAGGACTTCAGGCAGAGGTCTCCTCAGTGTGGAGACACCCTGCACGCCCACCTGGACATCTGGAAGTCAGGTGTGTTATAATAGCTGTATGACTGGTAGGACCAGCCCTAGCCTTTTGGGGGCCCTAAGCTTATGCCATGTTAATATGATATCTGAGTGAGAATGACTAACAAAAGCAATCAGGGCCTCCTGGAGGTCAGGTCCCCTAGACACATGCCCTGCGTGCCTGGTCGGTATTCAGCCATGATTACTACAAATGTTTTTTGCGGGGGCCCAAAGCGACCACTTATGCTGCCTATGCCTGGGGCTGGCCCTGATGACTGGGGTTGACAGACAGTCTGCACATACTGTAGTTTACTACTGTGTTCTCCTCAGGATAATGAAGCTTTTATCATTCTGTTCAAACAATACAACAATACATCTCTCTCACGCTTTCTCTCCCGTTCTTTCTCTCTCTACAGCTGCCTGGATGAAAGAGAGGAGTTCTGTTGGAGACAGCAAAATCACAGGTAGGTTTAGCCTCTTCTCTATTAGCTTTGTTAGGAAAGAAAGTGACATGAATCTCATTTCTCGAGGGCCAGAGTGTTCTTGGCCCTTGGGAAGGAGTAGTGGCAGTTGTGTGTGTTCATAGCTCCTAGGAAGAAGACCAGAGGGTCATGTATAGTGCAGTCTTGTTAGCAAATGTGTGTGTGTGTGTGTGACTGTGTGTGTGTGTGTGTGTGTGTGTGTGTGTGTATAGCTCCAAGTTAGGAAATAATGACTGTGTGTGTGCTCGTCCCTCTGTGCAGGCGGAGAGGAGCTGTGGTTGGAGGCAGACTCGTCGTGCTCAGGACAGCCCATCCACCTGTGGCAGTTCCTCAGAGAGCTGCTCCTCAAACCCCACAACTACGGACGCTGCATCCGCTGGCTCAACAAGGAGAAAGGTGAGCAGGGCAGGCTGTGTGACCGCCAAGAACTGATGGGATAAGTTCAGAAGCATTTTAAACTCTGCAATAATCCTCTCCTCTCCAATAATGAATTCTAATATCATCAAAAAAGACAGAGAATGACAATTGAATACGGTGACAAAGTAATCCATATCTAATCTCACTCTGCTGTCTGCCAGGTATTTTCAAAATCGAGGACTCTGCTCACGTGGCGAGACTCTGGGGACTGAGGAAGAACCGTCCAGCGATGAACTACGACAAGCTGAGCCGCTCCATACGGCAGTACTACAAGAAGGGCATCATCCGCAAGCCTGATGTCTCCCAGAGACTGGTCTACCAGTTTGTCCACCCAGTATGAGGGGACGGAGGAGGACAGAGGCCTCAAAAGAAAGGGCCACACGATCACACCTTGCACTTGTACATTACACCAACACCAAGCTGAAAAAGGGGTGAAACTAACAAGCATGCACTGACCAACCCCTGTAAGTACACATAGCCTTTGCCAGTACTGAAGTGTCAGCAGCCAAAGCTGGCAAATTAAGATTTCGCTTTTTTTAATGCAGAGAAGAAACATGAGACTAAAATGAAAGTGCTTTTTCTCTGGGTTGATTCCTCCTAAAAACCACGAAACAACAAAAGAAGGAAAAAAAATACCTTTCAACTGCCTTTTTCATTTGCATGATCTGCCTGTCCTTTTTTCCTATTATAGAATTTAATCAATAACCAGTATCTTAAAACAACTCAAGACAACATTTGATTGTCATCAAACTTAAGGAAGAGAAATTCCCATTGCCCACAGTTATACCTTTAATATTCTGTACCTGCTGTGTCCCTGTCTGAAGGACGAAGAACAGGCTGCGTGTGTTTGTTTATCAGAGCCTGTTCTCTTCCTTCCTCTGGGAATGTGGTTAGGAGTTTTGCTTCACCTATGGTTCAGCTGTCATCCAGAGAGGCAAAAAGCTCATTATTTTTTTCATTAATCACATGGCACACTTCGGAACTCTCCCGTAAGGCATTTACAATAGAGCTGTTCGCTGAACCTGAATGAGAGTTCAGCAACAGCCCCCTCATTAAATATAAACTCACATAGTCAAAGTCTGTAACTGGCTGGTAAAAGCCGTTGGTTTTCCACCCTGCCATAGAAAACACACCAGACCACTGTATATTACCACATTATATTTCATATGTTTTGTACCTTTTGCTTGCGTCTAATTGTAATTGCATTTTTTATTTTAAATGTATCAAAAACTGTATCCTACACCATCTTCACCATTGCAATACAGGTTCAATTCTTTAAAACAAGCAGCATTACTAATCTCATAATTGGTCATTACCAATTCTTTTGAATTCTATGAAGTATACAATAAAAAATGTGGGTTCCTCAAGGTTTTTTTGGTAAGGGTGCTGGTTCTATGTGGAACCATAATGACCCAAAGAACACTTTGAGCCCTTCAATGGTTCTAAACATGTAAATGTAGTGGCAGCAGCTCATTAAAATATTCTGGGTCTTGGCTTGCTCACAGCTCTTTTTGTGCAACCGTGAGTGAGGGTGTCCTTCCAGTTGATCTAATCTGTTGTTTTATGCTATTACATCTTATATATGACTATGGCCAGTGACGATGTCTTGTGAAAGACTCATGTATGGCCTTGTGTCAATTGAGAATGGTTGACTAAGTCAGTTGTTCTCAATTCTCTCCTCAGGGACCCCCAGCCGTTCCAGATTTAACTTGGTAATAAACACAAAAATAAAAACGATGGAATTTTAACGGTATATTATGGCTTTTAAACTAGAATAAAAACCCATGTATGGTTCTATAAAGAACCATTGAGATTGAGAATGGTTATTTATAGAACCATTCTCCATAAAGGTTCTATACTGAACCATAACAAAAGGGTTCTATATAGCCCCCAAAATGGTTGTAACCATAGCAGAACCCTTTTTTGGTGCTATATATATATATATATATATATATAACCTTTTTTTTATGGTTCTTTATAAAACATTAAGAACGGGTTCTTTATAGTCCCATTTCCTGTATTTCCACACAATCTAATATGACCCTTTTGGGATCATTTTGGGATCACTTTTATTGTAAATAAGAATATAATATGTTTGTAAATACTTCTACATGAATGTGGATGCTACCATGATTATGGATAATCGTGAATAAATCGTGAATAGTGATGAGTGAGAAAGTTATAGAACACAAATATCAAAATTCGAACCTCCCCTGTTATTGTAATGGTGAGAGGTTAGCACGTCTTGGGGGTATGATATTTGTGCGTCTCTAACTTTCTCACTCATCATTATTCACGATTTATTCAGGATTATCTGTGATCATGGTAGCATCCATATTAATGTAGAAGTGTTTTGAAACACATTACATTCTTATTTACAATAAAAGTGACTCCAAATTGACACAATACATTATTTACCATTAATTTCTATTGGGCACACAATAATCTGAAACACAACCAAAAAAAATTGAAAATGCTTCCAACATACAGTGAGGGAAAAAAGTATTTGATCCCCTGCTGATTTTGTACGTTTGCCCACTGACAAAGACATGATCAGTCTATCATTTTAATGGTAGCTTTATTTGAACAGTGAGAGACAGAATAACAACAAAAATATTCAGAAAAACGCATGTCAAAAATGTTATAAATTGATTTGCATTTTAATGAGGGAAATAAGTATTTGACCCCTCTGCAAAACATGACTTAGTACTTGGTGGCAAAACCCTTGTTGGCAATCACAGAGGTCAGACGTTTCTTGTAGTTGGCCACCAGGTTTGCACACATCTCAGGAGGGATTTTGTCCCACTCCTCTTTGCAGGTCTTCTCCAAGTCATTAAGGTTTTGAGGCTGACGTTTGGCAACTCGAACCTTCAGCTCCCTCCACAGATTTTCTATGGGATTAAGGTCTGGAGACTGGCTAGGCCACTCCAGGACCTTAATGTGCTTCTTCTTGAGCCACTTCTTTGTTGCCTTGGCCGTGTGTTTTGGGTCATTGTCATGCTGGAATACCCATCCACGACCCATTTTCAATAACCTGGCTGAGAGAAGGAGGTTCTCACCCAAGATTTGATGGTACATGGCCCCGTCCATCGTCCCTTTGATGCGGTGAACTTGTCCCCTTAGCAGAAAAACACCCCCAAAGCAAAATGTTTCCAACTCCATGTTTGACGGTGGGGATGGTGTTCTTGGGGTCATAGGCAGCATTCCTCCTCCTCCAAACACGGCGAGTTGAGTTGATGCCAAAGAGCTCGATTTTGGTCTCATCTGACCACAACACTTTCACCCAGTTCTCCTCTGAATCATTCAGATGTTCATTGGCAAACTTCAGACGGGCTTGTACAGTGGGGAAAAAATGTATTTAGTCAGCCACCAATTGTGCAAGTTCTCCCACTTAAAAAGATGAGAGAGGCCTGTAATTTTCATCATAGGTACACGTCAACTATGACAGACAAAATGAGATTTTTTTTCTCCAGAAAATCACATTGTAGGATTTTTTATGAATTTATTTGCAAATTATGGTGGAAAATAAGTATTTGGTCAATAACAAAAGTTTCTCAATACTTTGTTATTTATCCTTTGTTGGCAATGACACATGTCAAATGTTTCATCTGTAAGTCTTCACAAGGTTTTCACACACTGTTGCTGGTATTTTGGCCCATTCCTCCATGCAGATCTCCTCTAGAGCAATGATGTTTTGGGGCTGTCGCTGGGCAACACGGACTTTCAACTCCCTCCAAAGATTTTCTATGGGGTTGAGATCTGGAGACTGGCTAGGCCACTCCAGGACCTTGAAATGCTTCTTACGAAGCCACTCCTTCGTTTGCTCGGGCGGTGTGTTTGGGATCATTGTCATGCTGAAAGACCCAGCCACGTTTCATCTTCAATGCCCTTGCTGATGGAATCTCACGATACATGGCCCCATTCATTCTTTCCTTAACACGGATCAGTTGTCCTGGTCCCTTTGCAGAAAAACAGCCCCAAAGCATGATGTTTCCACCCCCATGCTTCACAGTAGGTATGGTGTTCTTTGGATGCAACTCAGCATTCTTTGTCCTCCAAACATGACGAGTTGAGTTTTTACCAAAAAGTTCTATTTTGGTTTCATCTGACCATATGACATTCTCCCAATCCTCTTCTGGATCATCCAAATGCACTCTAGCAAACTTCAGACGGAACTGGACATGTACTGGCTTAAGCAGGGGGACACGTCTGGCACTGCAGGATTTGAGTCCCTGGCGGCGAAGTGTGTTACTGATGGTAGGCTTTGTTACTTTGGTCCCAGCTCTCTGCAGGTCATTCACTAGGTCCCCCCGTATGTATCTGGGATTTTTGCTCACCGTTCTTGTGATCATTTTGACCCCACAGGGTGAGATCTTGCGTGGAGCCCCAGATCGAGGGAGATTATCAGTGGTCTTGTATGTCTTCTATTTCCTAATAATTGCTCCCACAGTTGATTTCTTCAAACCAAGCTGCTTACCTATTGCAGATTCAGTCTTCCCAGCCTGGTGCAGGTCTACAATTTTGTTTCTGGTGTCCTTTGACAGCTCTTTGGTCTTGGCCATAGTGGAGTTTGGAGTGTGACTGTTTGAGGTTGTGGACAGGTGTCTTTTATACTAAAAACAAGTTCAAACAGGTGCCATTAATACAGGTAACGAGTGGAGGACAGTGGATCCTCTTAAAGAAGAAGTTACAGGTCTGTGAGAGCCAGAAATCTTGCTTGTTTGTAGGTGACCAAATACTTATTTTCCACCATAATTTGCAAATAAATTCATTAAAAATCCTACAATGTGATTTTCTGGAAAATGTTTTCTCAATTACAGGCCTCTCATCTTTTTAAGTGGGAGAACTTGCACAATTGGTGGCTGACTAAATACTTTTTTCCCCCACTGTATGTGTGCTTTCTTGAGCAGGGGGACCTTGCGGGCGCTGCAGGATTTCAGTCCTTCACGGCGTAGTGTGTTACCAATTGTTTTCTTGGTGACTATGGTCCCAGCTGCTTTGAGATTATTGGGTCTTGTAGCCCATTCCAGCCTTGTGTAGGTCTACAATCTTGTCCCTGACATCCTTGGAGAGCTTTTTGGTCTTGGCCATGGTGGAGAGTTTGGAATCTGATTGATTGATTGCTTCTGTGGACAGGTGTCTTTTATACAGGTAACAAACTGAGATTAGGAGCACTCCCTTTAAGTGTGCTCCTAATCTCAGCTCATTACCTGTATAAAAGACACCTGGGAGCCAGAAATCCTTCTGATTGAGAGGGGGTCAAATACTTATTTCCCTCATTAAAATGCAAATCAATTTATTACATTTTTGACATGCGTTTTTCTGGATTTTGTTGTTGTT